CATATGCTGGATATATTCTGTCAGTGATAAAAATAGACATTGAAGTTATTTTATTCCTATCCTTTATTATCCTTTCAGTAACAAACATAAACGATTTTTATGTTCAATACTCTTTTTAAAACATTACCTCACCCAAAACTTGAGAGGAGGTAGCACAGCATACATTGTATAAAAATAAACAATGATGTAAGTATATATATATACACACATCTATATATTTTAAAAAAACAGTATAAGACTCTCTGAAGCTAACTTGAATTTCACAACTTTTCATACCATAACTAAAGCACACTTCTAATTTTCTGAACAACCTCTAAATAAGCCCCAGTGTACTGGGCCCTCCCTGGTGGCGCAGCAGGTTAAAGCACAGCACTAAGAAGCTAAAGCCACTTCAGCATGAGTTTGATCCCTGGCCAGGGGGTGACCCACACTGCCCGGCAGACCTCTATCTCCCCGCTGCTCCCCTCAGCAGTGTACTTCGTCAATCGGCCTGTCCTGCTCCCCACTGTCTCTGGTGAATCTTCTCACTGCCCCTGCACCCCTGGCCTGTACCCCAGTTCTGTATGCATAAATAAATCTTTTAAAAAGAAGAAGCCCCAGTGTCTCATAAGGATATCGTCTTAAATAGCTCTTAGCAAGGAATTCACACTCCCAAGCCTTAGTTTTCCCTGAGGAAAGAATTCCATGACTTCCAGGCCCTAATACACCTCTTTGCTCCTGCACCCTGTTCCCAGGGCAGGGAACTCAGCACTGTCCTGTGGAGCCAGCTTAGGTATCTCCCTTCCCTAGGAAGGCAGGTATCTTCGCAGGCCAAGTCCAGGCTCACCCATGTGGCCTCAGTGCTAAGTGTGTCGCTTCGTGCTTAACCGGGTAACTCACATAAGCCACAGAACACAGGAAATGGTTTTCGTGACTATTTTCTCAATTCTCTCAAAGGCAAAACAGAAGTACCTTTGGGGATGCACCGACGAAAAGCTAGAGGAACATTACAGAATGAATGACGTGAATACAGGCCATGAGATCTACTCAGGTCACCAGGTGACTGGGAAGATGATGAAATGGCTGATGATAACGCTTGTTTTTACTGTGTGCCAGGAGTACTCTCAATCCTTTACATCTCACTTAATCCTCACCTCAAGCATGTCCCCCACATCTGACAGACGAAGAAACTGAGGCCGAAAAGCACTAAGCTGCTTGCCCAAGGGAGTGACCAATTACAGAGGTCAACCTCTGAAGCCCCATTCGCTACCCTGTGCTGGGACTGTGGCAAAATGCAAAGTTCATGCCCCATCTAAAGGGCCAGACGCCTTTCACTCTTAGTGAAATGCGTGTTTTCTGTTGCCAGTTTCGCTTTTCAGAGATGGACATCTAGATCTTTATGGGAAACTTTTTAACTTTGAAGGGTTAGAAAATAATTCGAAAACTTTTAGAAACAGTTCAGGCAAAATACAACATACCTATGGGAAAGATGAGTATGTGAGTTGTACATCTGTGCTCTGCAGTAGCTCCCATCTTTCGACAAAAAGATACACGCCAGATGGCTTAGGGGTTAAGTCTCGGCACTATCACCACAAAGCCCTGAGTTCGATCCCCAGTCAGGGAGTGACCCACATGGCACAGCAGATCTCCCTGTTCTCCACTGCTCCCCTCAGCAGTGTACTTCATCGATCTGTCTGTGTTGCTCCCCACTCTGTCTCTGGTGAATCCTCTCACCACCCCTGAGCCTCTGGCCTGTATCCCAGTTCTGTATGCAATAAATCATAAATAAATCTTTAAAGAAAAAAAGAAGGTAGTTCTGGGAAAATGTAGGCAATTTAAATATTAATTTGGATTAAATAATAGCATCATATCAATATGCACTTTTCTGAAGTTGGCAGGAACTATATTTCCATTTAAGAATGTTACCGTTCTCAGAAAATACATGCTGAAGTATCTGGATGTAAAGAGGGCTGATTTCTCCCACTTTGTAATGATTTAGTTAAAAAGATGTGTGTATCTGGAGAGAGCAGACGATGAAGGTGGCAAAGTGTCAACAACTTGGGAATCTGAATAACAGGCCTGTGAGTGCTTTTTCTTCCACACTTGTAGCTCTGCTTTAAACTTCAAATTGTAAAGTAACAAAGTATTATCCAAAAAAAGTGTGGGGAAGCCCTGAGCCAGCAGAGAGCCAGCTCGAGGCAACCCAGCTCAAGGCCATACCCACTCTGCCTGGCACAGCAGCCAAACCTACTCACTGTACCCTCCTGGCAACCCGCAGGAGCTTGAAATCACCTCTAGTTGGAGAAACTGAGGCATGGAAGGCCAACCCTCCGTTCCAACAGCAGTGAATTGTAGAGGCCCTGGTTCTAACTCAAGTGCCAGTGTCACTTGGACTACTCCACTGAAAACCTTACAAGAAAGAAATCATTTTTCAAATGCATTCATGTACTTTGGCGGTCTTCCGCTTTCACACAAACTAAATACATGTTATCATGAAAAGCTAGATGATATTTAATCCAACTTTTTATTTACCCTCCAGACTTAGAAACACTGAAGAGTGTAAACCATCATAAGAAAAAAAAAATGTTATTTCAAAGAGAAAAGAAAAGCCATATGGAGGGATGGTAAAGTTTAAATGGTAAATGACTTTGGGGTAAGAGTTCATAGATAGGACTACCAAAATATGAGTCATAAAAAGAATTGATGAATTGGAACTTTATCAAAACTAAATACTTTTGTTCTTCAAAAGACCATTAAGTAAATCCAAAAAACGGGACAATGTTCAAAATATGTATCACTAACAAAGGACTTGTTGCTACGAAACATTAAGAACTCGTAACAAAAAGAACACAAAAAGCCTCCCAAGAAATGGGCAAAAATATGAAGACATTTAACCAAAAAGAAATAAGTATATGATATATATATCATATAGCATATCGCTTATATATGCGATATATATATATATATATATCTCAAAAAATACATAAGAAGCTGAGTCTCACTCGACATAATGGAAATGAAAAATCAAAAACCGTGAAAAACCACTTTATGGTAGGATGACTACAATAAAAGACGGACAATAACCAATGATGGCAAGTACATAAAGAAACTGGACCACTCTCCAACTGGAAAATGAAGTCTGAGTTTGGTAGGACTGCTCTAATAAGATACTCTCGAGAGAGAGAGAGACTGGGAGCCTCATCGACAGCAGAAATCCATTCCTCACAGCCCCAAAGGCTAGAAGTGACAGATTTGGGTTCTGGTGAGAACACTCTTGTGTGTTACTGACTCCCAACTTCTTGTATCCTCACATGGCAGAAGGCGTGAGGGAGCTCTTTGAGGCTGCCCAATAATGGGGCACCAATCAAACTAATGAGGGCTCCACCCTCATCTCCTACTGTCACTTCAGAGAGTAAGATTTCAATATCTGCATTTTAGGGAGAAACAAATATATAGATCATACCAAGCAGTGCAGCAGTTTAAACAGAGATTTACCAGATGACAAAGCAATTCCAAATCTAGTTATTTATTCAGGAGAAATGAAAACACACATCCACAAAAACACTAGAACATGAATGTTCATAGTGGCATATTTCAATAAAAGCCAAAAAGCGAAAATGGTTACGGTTTCAACAGCATGAAAGTTCGTTGGGTGCGGAATTCTACTTTAGCCAAAATCATAATCTCAGTGTCTGGCAAATAACAGGTATTAAATAAACTTTAAAGAAAAAATGATTGCATTTAAAGGTTGTTAGTACACTTACTACTTATTTATTTATTTGCACTGTTGTACACAAATACAGATGGATTGCCCCACCCTTTTGATTCTATCTTTCCTATACAATCCACATCATTGCAGGCTTAAGAATGGAAACTTGAGGTGCCTGATGAAATTTTCTTAAAACTTAGGCCACTGAAGAACAACTTTTACACTGTAAATCCAAAAGGGTATCAATCCTAAGACAAGCTCGCTTGTAGGACTCTATGAGAGCAAGAACTGTCTTTTTTATTTACAATTGGTCCTCACTTCCAATATTTCCCTAATAGAGAGTATGGAACAGAATGTGCAAAGGCTGCTCACCAGGTAGAGCACAAGAAAAAGGTTCTCTTAAGAAAGCCAAAGTGGCTGATGGACAAAGACCAAATTATCATGTCCAATGAGGCCCATTGACACAGCAAGAGTGAGACAGGCCTGCAGAGTAGGCCATTGAAGTCTTTATCTCAAGAGCAGCTGAAAGCCATGGAAGATTTTTAAATAGGTGGTTGACAGAGCAAAGAGGAAAGAAAGGGAGGTGATTAGCTTTGCATTGTTGAAAAGACCTCACACCATCCATATTGAAGAAGAGAGTAGTCATGTGGGAAATGAGAGGAGACACCACGAAGGAGAATATTGCAACAGGCCATTAAAGAGATAATGGGAATCAGGTCTAAGGTAGTGGCGATGGGAAAAAGTGGACAGACTACCGATATATTTAACAAATCAACAGGACTTGATGGGAGGAGAGTGAATGACAAAAACGAAAACATTCAATTCTTCTGAGCCTCAATTCTTCATCCGTAAAACAGGACTGTTGACACTCCATTTGCATAATATCTATCTTGCAGTCTGCTGTGATAAGAATATGAAACAATATAAATAGCATGAACAGAGAGCTTGTCACGCAACAAACACTTTAAAAAAAACCGCTAGCGCTGTTGCTATTATTACTGTCATCCCCTCGAATAGAAGTTAGCAGGGCCGAACCTCAGAAGGGGAAACTGGGACCACAGTTGAAGATTCATAGCCTCTGTGCTGAAGACCCAGAACACAAGCGCCGACCACACTAACAACTGCTCCAAAACAGGCCCGGGCCTGCATCCTGAGGAGCACAAACGTGGAACCCCGAAGCCCTGCAGACGAGGCCCTGTCATCCCCTGGCTTAGGTCGGTGTGTGGCTCGCAATCACGCCAAGCCTCTCCCGTTCCCTGCCCCTCGGGGCCAGCGCGCGCAAGCCCCCAGACTCCAGAGGGTCCAGACATACCTTGGCTTCGCGCTCCCTTTCCTCGGCGGTCGGGGTCCGCTTCATGCTGCTCTTACAGCCGCCTCCGCCACTGCTAGCCGCGTAGACCCGAACCCCGAACCCCACCTCCTGCCTGTAGTTCTCTCGGCGCCCAGCTCCCGCCGGGAACCATTCGCGGGCGGAGCCTCGAGAACTACCACTCCCAGAATGCACGGCGACGACCGCCGAGCGCGCCACGGAGTTCAGAGCCCGAGGATTTCCCAGGTCCGACAGCTGGTGGAGCGTAGTCCGCTCCGCAGCGCGCCGGCGAGCGGGTGCCCGCGGAGAACTACATTTCCCAGCAGGCGACGGGGCACGCCATGTTTTTCCCGTGCTCCTCCAGGCCGGCCACCCCACACGCCGTCGGCGCTATAGCAACGGTAGCTAGCGGCGGGGCCAGACTGGCGGTGAGTACTGTGCGGGAGAAGAGGGGGCTGGAGGCGGCGGAGCCTCTCCCCGCAGCGTGGGCAGGGGCCCTGGGGCCTGTGCGACGGCCTGGAGAGGGTCTCGGAGTTCTGTTCGCGTGAAGAGCAGCCCTGCACGAGACCCCTCCACCTCCTCGGGCCTGAATCGAAACCCGCCCATTATCCTCACGCCCAGGACCGGTTCGAAATTTTATTGCAACCCCAAACCCGAGTGGATGCCGCCCCAGTCCAAATCCTTCTTCAGATAGAAGGTCACATGAATACTGTTGGCTCCCTTGCCCCCTGTCGGAGGTGGTTGGGGGCCCCCAAGCCCCCTGAGCGGCCTGTTGTTGGCATCTCATCATGATTTGTTTATCGTCTGATTACCCTATAGCCCAGCGAGTCCCCAAAGACACGGACTTTGTTTGCCCTTTTAGTTCTCAGTCCCAGGTACCACTGTTGGGTTTAATTAAGTGCTAGGCACTGTTCCAGGTGAGCTGTCCATGGGGCCAGACGGATCTCAAGATGCTGAAACGTCAATGACAAAGGCAAACGAGGTCCCGACTAAGATCATTTGGGGCAGAGGTAGTTGCTATAAAAGAAATGAACGGAGGAAGCTAGGGGGCGTTCGGGGGAGGTCTCTGAGGAGTGGCTTGGAGCTCTGAAGAATGAGGAGCCAGTTACTGCAGAGGTCTTGGAGCAGGAGGTAGCTGGACTTGAGTAGGAGTGGTGTGAGCCAGGAGAGAGAGCATGAGAGAGTGTCGGAGAGGCACCTTCTTGCTGTCACCATTTGGGGGCCAGTTGACTCTTTGTTGGGGTTCCTGTGTACTGCAGGACGTGCAGCAGCATCTTGGGTCCTCAGGTGCCAGTAACACCTTCTTCCCAATTTACAAGATCAAAAATAGGACCAACGGTGGGCACATGCCAGAAGCCTTATGTGGTTTTTTCATTTGTTAGGTAGGAAGCATTTGATTAACAGCCTCCCAGTATGTGTGCTATTTAATTAGTTCATATAAGCAGAACATTCACAAGAGTGTCTGGCATTTTAGTAAGCATTCAGTAAGTGTGAGCTGACGCTGTCATCGTCATTATTATAGAAGCTACCAGAACTCTATATGGAAAGTTATCATTTGTGTAAGTAGTTTGTGTTCAAATTTCCGGTTAATTTGAATTCTAAAGTTGACTTTTTTTTTTTTAAGATTTATTTATGTATGCATACAGAACTGGGATACAGGCTAGAGGTGCAGGGGGTGAGAGGATTCACCAGAGACAGAGTGGGGAGCAGAACAGGCAGATGGACTGAATACACTGCTGAGGGGAGCAGCGCATGAGACAGAAGTGGCCTGCGTGCCATGGGGGTCAGCTCCCTGGTGGGGGATCGAACTCTTGCTGCAGTAGCTGTGGACAGCTTCATAGTGCTGTGCTTTAACCGTTGTGCCATCAGGGAAGGCCTTAAGGTTGACTGTCCTGCATCAGTGTTTCCAAGAGTTAGATGGTGATCTCCCAGGCATAAGTCTGTAGCTGCTCATGTCTCGGCAAAATGCAGTGGTTCTCAACCTTTAGGAATTAATAATAAAAGTTAAGAGCCCTCTCCCTAAAATACGCTCATTTATACCTATGCGTGCAGACATCTGTGGGTCCACAAACCCTGAAGCCCTGTGGACTCCATTTGTTCATTCAACAACTGTTTAGTGATGCCTACAATGCAGTGCTTTGTGCCAGCCTCTCAGAGGTAAACAAGACAAATGTATTGACTGTTCTCTTGGATTTTACATTCTAGCACCAACACTGTAGAAATTGAGGTTGAGAGTGAGAACCTCTTTCTTAGAGATCTCATTGAGCATTTTGGCTTTCTGGTTAGACAGAAATGGAAAAAATGTATGTGTGTGTGTATGTGTGTGTGTTTTGGACTTTGCATGAACCACTCACATTTACATACAAAATTAAGCAGTACATCTCCAAAAAGAACAGAGCCTGTACAAATGCCAGAATTAGCTGGACAGCCTATATGTTGAGGTAGAAACTCCTGTGACCGAAGCCACATGGCAAGAAAAACAGAACATGCACAACCCTGCTGTAAACGTGTGAAACTTCTTTCTCAGAACTAGACACTATCAATTCATTTATGCAGCCAGCTAAAATTGTTCCAATCGTATTTACATTCCAGACAAATGATCTAAAAACTTCTTATTGGTGACACTTACCTTAATGTAACTCCATGAGAGAGGTGTTATTTTCTCCATTTTTCAAGCTAAGAAACTAAAACTCAGCGAGGTAAAGTGACTTGACCACCTAGTAAATGATAAAATTACCATTGGAATCAAGTTCCCAACTTGCTTTCAAGTTCCTGATACCTGCATTTTTGGGGGTCAGAGAAAGGTGTTTCTTAAATTTGAGGAATGCCTTTACGCATCAGAGGATTCAGAAGAAGAAAAAAGGAAGAATGATAATCTTACCTCATTTCCTGAGCAAACTATAGGAAATATACTGTTGAAAGGGGCATGGTGTCCATGATTGAATGTAGCATTACTTTAGAATGGAAGCTTTCATCTTTTTCAAGGAGCACATGTAGGCAATAAGATGTCCGTTAAAGTTCAGTGCCATATCCATTTTATTTGGTTCATTCCATTGCATAGTTAATATAATAACTTGGAAAGAGTTTATTTGAATTTTCTTTTCTCCACAGAGAGGCCATGTCTGCCTCAGCTGATGAGACTGCAGGAGACCTGCCTGTGAGGGATACAGGTCTCAACCTCTTGGGGATGGGCGGGTTACAAGGTATGGCCAGCTGGTGTATATTACTGTTGCAAACTTTGATCTGTTATTTCTTTACTTTTAACTTAAAGTATTTCTGATATTCGGACAAACCAAGCCATTTCAGTAACTATATAGCTTTTGATTGGACTAAACAAGATTGAGCGTTTAGAAAAACATGTGGTGTTTTACTGCCTGTGTCAATTATCAACAGCTCATAGAAAATGTAAAATCTCTCTCTGTTCTGATAAAGATTTGTTATAAATCATCTTATGAAATTCCATACATTAGTGGAAGCTGAAGATAGTATCAAACCTCCAAACTGAATTGCTTGCTTTAAATCACATTCACCATCAAACTGTTTTCTTTATGTTTAAATTTTATGTGGGAGGAATGCCATATTTAAAGATGTTTTCCTTTCAAGTAAAAGATCTCAGAATGGCTTGTTTATACACGCGATAGTGATTTTGTTTTATGAAATTAATATACATAAAGATTTTCTTTATCCTTTTTATTACTTAGTGATTGCTAGAGAACGCCTCTTTAGCTAAAGCTATTTTAGTGCTTTCAAATGGAGAAAAAAAAGTACTACTTTACAAAACAGTGCCGAGGATAGGGCCTTGCTCTCCAGGGCTCTGTCCTTGTCGTTGAGAAGCCCGTGATTCCAGAGCATTCCATGCAGGCCTCTTCAGACACCTGTTAGCCACTCCAAGGTGGCCAGTGTATTGTTCATTGAGAAGGATAAATTTTGACTACTCGACATTTGTTAAATGGTATGTAAATGGTCTAAGCTTTTCTGTAGCTCTTTGGAGGAGTATTCGGTATTCAAAACGCAGGTAAGTTTGTGGTGTGTAAAGCTGTTTATTGGTTTGATACCCTAAATTCAATTCTTGCCCTCAGTAATCCATCACTGGACTTTTAAATTTGTCCCTTTGCTTTTTGCTTCTTGTGTAATAGTTTTGAAAATCGATGCTGAACAAGGATGTAAAAAAAAATGTCAACTTCAAGTAGAAGGTGCAGGATTCAAATTATCATTAGCAATTCTGCTTTGTAAAAAAATGTATTCGAACAGCCTTGTATTTTTTTCACATTCTGCGTATACACTGAAAACTATTCAATCAGCATTTGACCTTACATCCGTAAAGCATGGTTATTTGCAAGCATTGTTGAGTGGTACTACTTTCCAGACCTTTATTATTTCATGTAAAGTAATAATTGCAAGGATTTTTCTCCTTACCTCTAAGTGAACAGTGCTACAGCAGTTTTTAAAAGCTCTATTAGTTGTAAGTCTCAAAGGAAAAATATCTGAGATAAGTGCATCAGAGAGTCTGTTGATAAGCAGTTATCATTCTAGAGATCATACTAAGTAATTCCCACTCTTAATTAATTACCTTGCCACTTTTGCAGAAACTTCAGCAACAAGGACAGTGAAGTCTCGCCAGGCCGTGTCGCGTATCAGTCGAGAGGAACTGGAAGACAGATTTTTGCGTTTGCACGATGAGAACATTTTACTTAAGCAGCATGCCCACAAGCAAGAGGATAAAATTAAAAGGTTATGATAAAAAGCTTTTAGGTTTTTTTCTAACTCGGTAAAGTTTGAAGGATATGCTTTTTTATAAACTTAATTGAAAACACCACCTTGAATCTTTTTTTTTTTTTTTTTGGACAAGGCAGGTTGTAAATAAATGCAACTTTTTGAAATGGAAAATCTTACAAACTGGAACAGTAAAGCAAAATATTATGAGTGTTTATTATATCTGAAGTTGCTATTCGAAAGAAAAGAGCTAATAGCTAAGAGTGCCATGAGTGTGTCATAGCTATAAATAGCTTTTGCTTTAATATTTATAGTTTAAAAGACAAATGGCCAAAGCATCTGTTTTTCATGTCTTGATTTTTAAATGAAAGTTTTAAAAAGTAATTAGTATTCTAACTTGTTAGAATGCATGTTCCCTTAAAATTTGGAGTCTCCTAATGAAAACATTATTTGAAACTCTGGAATCTATTTAACATTGCTTGAATTAGACTAGGATCTATATTTATTTTAAAGTCTCTACAGTGTCTGAAGAAACATTGCTACTTTTGATTTGTGTGCAAAAAGTTTTTACAAGGGTAATTTCTGAAGGGTATAGATGCTCTTTCCTTTGTTCTTATTCAGAAACACTATCTTCTGAAAGTGGGCTGGGAAAAACAAAAATGCATTCTCATTTGTAAACATGGAGAGATCTGTGTTGGAGTCATGTTCTGAGTTCAGTGAAAAGGTGAGACAGCCTTTGAGGAATGAGGACAGGGGCTTTTCCTGTCTAGCCTTTATCACTCTCTACTTTGTGGACTTTGTCATTAAGCCCCTGCTGTGAGGGGCTTTTGCATTGAGTTGATTTTTGTGTCGGGATGAAGGCTTGTTTCACTTGCCTCATACCTTTCCTGAGCAGTGACACACACACACTCACACACACCAGCCTGACAGAGTGAGGCGAGAGGCTGCTGACTACTAGCCAGTATTTTTTCTTTATAGACCTAATGGGTTAGTAAAAGAATCAAATGCACAACCTTGACCTCATTAGTAATTTGTCCTAGCCAGAAAAATGAAGAAACCCTCAATGATGAATCATCAGTTTAATGGGAAAATGCCTGAGAGTCCAGTCCTGAAAGCAGTGACTCCCTAGTTACATGAGGAAAGCTGCCTTTAAACTCCAGTATTGCAGTTAGTCGTTTTGGGGGTATACATGTAGACTTGATAAATTAAGTACATAAGGACCACCTATGATTGATTAATATCAAATCAGCAAGTAAGTGAAAACTATTGCCAGGACTTGATAAGCAGATATAATGTTGGGTTTCTTAACAAATTTGATTGACCATCTTTCAGGGAACTTAAAGCCACTCCACTGATACGATCTTCTTGCCTTAAAAATTGGGGTCATTTATTTTTCTCTAGATACTGACTGCTTTTTCATACTAATTTGGTGTCTGTCTTCTTGATCTTTCTCTCTCTCTCCTCTGTGAAAATGTCTGTGTAGCAGAAGATTCAGATATTGAGATGGTTCCGTATTTACTGGATAAACCATTGGGGTACAGCTCAGGACCCTAAACTCATCATAGGGCCAGGGAGAGAGTGCTCTAGGGGGCTCTGATACCTGGCCAGAGGGCCCAGTGATATATCATTCTCTGGATTAGGTGGAAAGGGAACTAATCCATTGATTGTTTTACTAGGGTGTTTGTGGTACGCTTGGATCTTGGTTTTTATTATTCTGTATCCCTTATAAAGCATGTTTAATGGATGTGCCTCAAGGGAAAGAGAAAACAATCTTAACTGATTATGTCATGCATAGCTCTCCCTGAGCCACGCTGTAGGCTGAGCTGCCAGAAGTGTAGATAGACGTGTATTACTACCGCTTTTACAGAGGACTCGCTTAGGGCAAAAAAAGGTTGTTCTATGACATCCCAAAGCTATTAAGAATTTTTTTATTTCACTTTTGTTCTCTTAAGTAAAAGCTTCTGTCCATAACCATGCTAAAATAAAGCAAACCCCATTTAAAGAAAAATGAAGTGTGTTTTTATTTTCAATCTCCTGTCTGGGTCTTTATAAAAATAGATTCACTATAAACTAGAATCAGCTATTGAAGATGTGCGACCAATTTTGTAAAGTCTTGAACTTATGTCTCTCATCAAAGCCACCTTTTCTTTCTTGTCCTGCCAAGATTTTTCCATTCACTGTCAGGCATGTTTTCCGTACGTGTATATTACATCACCCTGTGTGCCCTTTCTGGCTTTTGTTCTGTCCAACCAGTTTTTGTCAAAACTTAAAAGAGTCAAGGTATAAACTAGTGAGATGTCAAAAAAAAAAAACAATTTATGTCAAAATTTAAAGGTAGCATTAAAGTAATATTTTTCCACTGGGTTGTTTTCTACCGTTAAACATGCATGTTGCTGAAGTCCTCGGTAACATTTAATTGGTTCCTTTGGAATGCTTCCTTGGGCTTTTATATGTCTCTGTCTCTGCATGCGAACGTTTTGATATTTGCAGAATGTCTCTATCCTAGAGAAACTAAAAACAATATATCACCTAAATGCTGCAGTCTTAATATACTTTTCAAAAGCTTTAACTCACTGTGGATTGCGGATATAACCCACCACATCCACAATCTGTAACTACATTTAAGTGCATACAGCATTCCTCCATAAGGTCATGCGTTAAAAATTGCATTTGAGGAACATATGGAGTAAATATGTGTCCTCTCTTTACTAACCTTAAATGATAAGCCTTAGGAAACTGTTATTTGTCAGTGCTATAAAGCAGATTGTTGCCCAGTGGTTTCAATTATCATCAAAGGGTTCTTCACAGGCAGTAATAGTCACATCAAAACCTGAAATGTATTATTCAGGCTCTGCACTGAAGTCTTCACAGTGATTACGTTCCTTTCAACAGAATGCATTTTATGCTGACTTCTCACATTCCTTTTCATCTTTTTATTATTTCCCTAGAATGGCCACCAAGTTAATACGGCTAGTTAATGACAAGAAAAGATATGAGCGGGTTGGTGGCGGCCCCAAGCGGCTGGGACGAGACCTGGAAATGGAAGAAATGATCGAGCAACTCCAAGAGAAAGTTCATGAGCTTGAAAGACAAAATGAAGCCCTCAAAAACAGGCTGATTTCAGCCAAACAGCAACTTCAAATCCAGGGTCACAGGCAAACACCATACAATTATGTGCAACCTCGTATTAACACTGGGCGGCGAAAAACAAGTGAAAATGCAGGCTCACAGGAAGGCCCCAGAAAAGGTAAACCTTACACTGAAACCTGACATCTTACATCAACGCGAGAATCTTGGTAGGTCGTGTGGTAGACACACCCAGACTTTCTTCTGTTCGTGTTTTTCAAAAGTTTTTGGAGAGAGAAAAGTAGATTTTTTACTGGCTTTGTTATAAACTCATATAATAACATGAAGATTGTTTAGTTAAGAGTAACCACATCAAACTCAATTCTGTTTAGGAAAATACATCCTTAACAATAGGTGAAACTGTACAAATTTTCTTTGAGTTGGTTTTCTATATGAAAAATGGTAATTGCATTGACTCAGGAAACTTAGAAAATCTGCTGGTTTGCTGATATACGCTCACACTTAAATTGTTTGTCCAGAGAGCCTTAATCAAATTTACAAAGTTGTTTAAATTGTTCTCACACGTCCAGGCAGCATACAGGGGAATGGACACATCGCCAGGCCCTTTAAAAGTTAACTTCTTGCCTCGACTTACTGGATGTTGATCTTGGGCAAGTCCTCTAATGATTCTGACCTTCAGTTTTCTTTGCATGTAAAGTGAAAAGATTGAAGCAAGTGGCATAAAGATGTCTCCTGTCTCCAAAAATGCTTATTTTGAAAAGGAGTCACCTGAAACCAAACAGATTAAAAAGCAGTTTGGTTTCCTAGATAAGAAAGTATAGAAAGAAGCTAAATATTTGTAATAAAGATTCCCGAGTGTTTCCAGCCATCTGTCACCTTTACTTTATGATGAAAAGTCAGTAACTATTTTCAGTAACATTTTTAAAATTTCAGCTCCTGGGGAGGAAATGGAAACTTAGCTCTAATGACCTTTGTTTGAAATATGCTTCACATAAAAACCAAAAATTTTAGGAACCTAAAAATCTGTAAAAGTTTCGATTCATTGAGGAAGAAAAAAACTCCATATGAATAGAAAGGGAGAAGATTTTGTTCGTTTTTTTTCTCCAAGCCAAAATGTTAGTATTATCTGATCCCAAGACACTTGTTTCAAAGTCAGTAAGGCCTTCTCAGGCAGGAGGCAGCGCAGTGTGAAAGACTCTGGCTCCTTGTAGCTGTGCGTGATGGGCTGTGGACTCTGAGTAGAGCCAGTCGTCGTGATGAATTATAAACCAGCACGTACTTTCTGCCAGTACTTGACTTTTTACATGGAAGAGAGCGTGATCTTCCCAGTCTGAGAAATGGAGCGATAACTGAGAAAGATCAGGAGATGGTAGCGCCAGGGTAACCTACTTCAGCTTTCATTTTAGAGTCACTTGTTCTCTCTTGCCCCAAGTTTTGTCATCTGTGACTCTGAGTAAGATGATTTCTAAGGTCTGCAAGCTTTTTTATATTAAATAAAAATTGCGCCCAAATTTTAGATTAAAATGGCAAACTAACCTAGTGCTGTGTGTCACTGTTTGAATAAAAGATTTGCTGGAATTTTCTCCCATGGAGGCAAAAAAACCCAGCAGTCTTTTTAAAATACAACTGTATAACCTCAGTCCTTTCTTCATGGGTTGCTACAGAGACCAAGATGGAGAGTCTGTGTAAGCACTAAGTAGAAGCGAATACTTTCCCAACCACTCTGAGTTAACAATGAACAGTATTAACACCAAGTAATCTTATAGATTCTTCTCTTGAGGCTGGGACTTAGACCAAACATGTCAGAAATACCTCGAACTGGGGTGGCTGAAAGAAAACCCCAAACCACCGCTGGTCCCATCAGCCATACCCCCAACTTGCTGTACAATTAGCATTCCTACTCTTAACGTTTCAGGATGAAGGCCGGGCGCACTGGCTTCGTGTACGCTCAGTGTGCTGTAGTCGCAAAGCTCACTGTGTTCTGCCTGACAAATCACCATGACATTAAAAAGTTTTAAGATCTATTTTAAATATAAATAGGATCTTTTAATTCCTCTAGATTTATGTAGACAAAGCTTAAAAATTAGTATTATTGCCCAGTAGTATAATTGGAAAATGTTATCACATTAAAGTGTTCTAATGAGTTAAGCAGAACCTTTTCTGTTCTTTAGTCTGGATTATAACAACAGATGTTGAAAGTTTTGAAAGTATCAAAGAGTAGTCCATTATTGTAATTAAAAGTCTCATTTATGGAAAGTAAACTTTTTATGAAGACAAAATTTCTGCACCTGCATAAAAATCTAAATTTTCTGTTATATTTGTGTCTACCCTAAAGTCTAATAATGCAATTGTTCTGTAAATGTCAAGTCGCTCATATAAGTAAAGATATATCTGATTTTTAGCATTGAGACTAGGCTTGTAAAATTTCATGTAACTATTTTATAAGAAAAATTTTACCTTAAGAGTGACACAAAAACGTCTTATTTAAAGAAATATTTTCGATACTCCCTCCTCAAATTACCTGTGTTTAAATGTGGGTTTTCTTATTGGGGTGAAATAAACCAAAGAGCAAGAAACCTGGTTGGCCTCCCTCGTGGCGCAGCGGGTTACAGCACAGCACTATGAAGCTAAAGCTGCTGCAGCATGAGTTCGATCCCCGCCTGCCCCGGAGGTGACCACATGGTGTGGCAGACCTCTCCTGACCAGCCCGCTGCTCCCCTCAGCAGTGTACAGTCACCCTGTTCTTTTCCCCACTCTGTCTCTGGTGAACCCTCTCACTGCCCCTGCACCTCTGGCCTGTACCCCAGTTCTGTATGCATAAATCTTTTTTAAAAAAGAAAAAAATGCACAAAAATATGTAAAAATAAACCGTTATAAAATTTTTTTAGAAAATCTAAAAAAAATTTTTTTTAATTTTACATATATTGACAGTGTGAATGAGTGACACAAATGAGATAAGGCTCTAAAAGGAAGATTAGGGATGGGAATGATTAATTTAAAAATTAAATAATTGGCCCTCCCTGGTGGTGCATTGGGTTAAAGCACAGCACTTAGAAGCTAAAGCCACCTCAGCATGAGTTCGATCTCAGCCCCGGAGGGACCCACATGGCACGGCAGACCTCTCCTGACCCTCCCGCTGCTCCTCTCAGCAGTGGATCATGGATCTGCTGTTCTGTTCCCCACTTTGTCTCTGATGAATTCCTCTCACCCCCGCACCTCTGGCCTGTACCCCAGTTCTGTATGCATAAATAAATAAATCTTTTTTAAAACATTTAAGTTACCCCCCCCAATTCAAATTCTTGAAAGTTTTTCTCCCATATTTCATTTTATGTTGTAAAGTCCCAACGTAAAGATTTTGGTTCTGTCAGAAATTACTGCAGGAGTTCTAAGTCAAAGTTTTATCAGATCATGTCTAGGTAATTTGATTTCCATAATAAAGTCCTTAAACGGGCAGCACTCATGCCTGTGTTGTGTTTAGTGCCTTTGGGGCCTGGTATCTGACACCCCTCGGACGATGCATTTCTAATTCTTTAGCGCGTGTATCTCTTGGTACTTAATATGAAACCATATTCTATTATGAGTATATTTGTGATAGCTAATCAAGGGTCCTTCTTTTCTCACTTCACTTCTATAATCATATTTATTTACTTTTAGGTATTAGATTCCAAGATGTAGATGTAGCAGAAACTCTACAGCCCATGCTTGCAAAATACGGCAACAGTTTACTTGACGAAGCCAAAGGAGAAATAAGAAATTTGTAGGTATTCTTTACCGTGGCCATTTTAGAACTCTTTTTTTCTTCATCCTTCCCATTATTTTAAACAAAATTGGTTTATTTGTAAATAATTTGCTCCACTAAAATATAGCTGATTATGTGGGGTAAGAACAGATATTATATAACATGTTTTCAGGAAAATGACCCCTTTAGCCAACTGTACCAACTGAAGGATTTATAGAATTCTCCTCTTTATTGTGATTCCCCCCACCAGAGGCATAGCATGGAGCCCAGGGACTGAGGATAGTCTCTGTAGTCTTTAGAGGCAACATTTTCATCCTCAGAAAAATTACAGGTAATTTTTTTAAGGTCCCGAATTAGATACTTTTTGTGGTTTAAAAAAAAAAATTAGAGGGAGTGGCTTATAAGTTTGAAGTTATCAAATACATATGGATTTTAGATTTTGTTTCACTCAATTCTGCAGTACCACATTCTTCACCATACTATGGTTTCAGAAGTTACTTCTGCCACGTTTAGCTTACTTTTTCAGCTAATAAAAGCCGCATGGCTTCAGCGTCCATGAGTCACTCAACTGCAATGAGGTTCCTTCACCTGGAGGGCTAAAAAGGAACAATTCAGAACAAGGAAAAGAAAGCACAAGACTGCAGGTCATGCTTTAGATAGCTGCTTAAGAATGATGCAGGCTTCGGCTTTTTTCTGGTGAATAAATTCCAGTTGCAGTAATGATCAGCCTGTGAGAGAATTAACTGCAACACTAGATGTTGTTACCTGGTAACTGCCGAAATGGCAGGGCCCCTATCAGTTTATGAGGCTCCCTGCCCCAGGATGCAGCTGACATAACGGGGAACGTGCCAGAGTGTTGACGCTAGGGTTCGGCCACTTGCGGCTGGCTCCCTCAGGTGCGTGGGTGGGCAGAGATGCCAATGGGCCTGTGAGCGCACAAACGCGCAACAGCTGCTTGAGGGCTGCAATCAAGGAGCACACGTAGGTGACCAAAAAGGGCTGCCCTGGTGGTACAACAGTTACTATGCAGCACTGTGAAGCTGTCGGCAGTCACTGCAACACAGGTTCTATCCCCAGCCAGGGAGTGACCCACAGGGCGCAGCAGACCTCTCCTGTCTCCTGCTCCCCTTCGCAGTGGATTTCAGTGGATCTGCCAGTTCTGCTGCTCCCCACTCTGTCTCTGGTGAATCCTCCCACCTCTGGCCTGTACCCCAGTTCTGTGTACATAAATAAATAAATCTTTAAAAAAAAAACAAAAAACAGTGACCAACAAATAACTTAATTACACCCAGCGTGGTGTTCCGCCCGGCACATTATCTTGTGCAAAGCAGTATCGTGGCTTTTCCCACCTGCAGTTCCGAGTCACCACATAGGTGGTGTTTCACTCTGTGAGGAGGCACTTAAACTAAACTCTTTAACTCTTGCTTGCTGTAATGATGAACTCTTCTTTTAAACACAGTAACTTCCCTCAACCTAAAAATTCTTAACAAAGATTTTTTCTTCCAGAGAAAATGTGATTCAGTCACAGAGAGGCCAGATAGAAGAGCTAGAGCACTTGGCTGAGATCCTAAAAGCTCAGTTAAGGAGAAAAGAAAATGAAATTGAGTTATCTCTTCTTCAGCTTCGAGAACAACAGGCTACAGATCAAAGGTATGTTGAAACAGAAATACCACTTTGATAAGGTTAAAATTAGTGGGAAATACTTTATCATATGCCATAGAAGGATAAATCTTGCCTGCAGGAAAATCATGTTTTTGCTTGACATTCTACATCTCGGCCAGTCTCGGCCTGTCCATTGCTGTCATTGCTGCTCTCAGCAGTTCTCACGTGAAGGCAGCCTACCTACCTACCCGGCCGCATCTCGTTTACCTCGCTAATGTGTCTCATTTACCAGGACGCTATTTCATGCCATTTGATAGTACCAACTTAGAGAAATATACGGCAAAGACTCAGCTGTGGCCATACTTTATGCCAAGTAGTCCAGCCTCCTCTAAGGGTTTTCACCCTGAAAAGGTAGCAGAACCTACGCTTAGCGGAATAAGTCAGAAAGAAAAGGAAAAATACTGGATGGTGTCACTCATAGCAGGAGCATAAAGGACCAGGGGGAATAATAATAATGAACAGCTATGTACCAGAGACATTTTATGGGGGTGGGGTGGGGGTGGGATCCAAAATGGGGGGTGGCGGAGTGCACTGGACTGTGGTGATGGCACACGGGGGATTTGGTGACGGGAAGCCCACGGGGATGACAACTGAGATGGGAAAAGGCACAAAATGATGTAAAAATGAACTATTATAATAAAATTTTAAAATAGTAAAAATTTTTTAAAAGGCAGCAGTTCCTGTCATATAGTGCCAGCTTTGTGTCCCAGAGATGCTGCCTCTCCTGACTCTCAGTATTCAAAATTCAGAAGCTTTGCATTCTCAGATTCTCGTGACCACAGCAGTGCTCCTTAACAGTTAGTCTCCGTGTCCATCTTCGTTCTTTTTTTTTCTTTTTATTTGTGCATACAGTACAGGCCAGAGGCTCAGGGGCGGCAAGAGGCTTCACCAGAGACAGAGTGGGGAGCACAACAGGCAGATCGACGAAGCACACTGCTGAGGGGAGCAGCGGGCGGGTCAGGAGAGGTCTGCCGCGCCATGTGGTCACCTCCGGGGCGGGCGGGAATCAAACTCATGCGGAAGCGACTTTAGCTTCTCAGTGCAGTGCTTTAACTCACTGCGCCACCAGGGAGGGCCCCCATCTTCGCTCTTAACGTGCTGTAATGGCATGTACATCTTCTAGCCCATCGTCCTCTGTCATTTTGTCCCTGTTATCTTTATTTTTTGCTTCCAGCAAGACCTTCTCTTTCCACCACATTTTCTTGAGTTGTGCTCTTCCCTTTATGACTTTTTACCAGCCGCTGCTAGCATGTAGTAATCAGCTTATATACAAGCGTCCCTCAAGTTGTGTACCACAATTTGCTTGCATTGGAAGACAGCTGAGGTGTGCACTAGCGTGTGGTTGTTGTATCTCTTCTGGCTCTTATTTCTCCCATTGGTTTTTTGAAAACCAAACTTCAAGCCTCTATTTGTTTTTCCCCCTTTCCAGCTTGTGTGATATCTCACTTATGTGGCTAGATTCTTACCTCAAAAAAACCTAATGTGATTTTTCTAGTTGTTCACTTCAGTTTCAGAATAATTCTCCATTAGCAAACTAACCTTACATGGGGAATTTGAAAAGCTAAGAAAAATATGCATGATACGAGACTTGTTTTCAAAAAATAAATTAGACTAAGAGTATATGAAAAGCTTTATATTTCAGAGGTTTATAAGATTAGTATTACATGTGATAATTTCTGTTCCTAAAAAGTTATGTCTGAAATTAAATTATGCAGTGAAATCCTATATGTTTTGTGACATTTATATACCCCTCTAAGTGCAGGGCAGAAGAAACATAAATATTATTGAGAGTTCTATTTATATTCAGAGATGTAATTTTGAAGCCTGTTTTTTAAAGCAGCATAAATACCCAGGAGTTACCATGTTCCCAAAGGAAGAACTGATTTAGACGTAGACGTCTAGCTTGGCTGAGAAGTGGCTCCTTCCCTGCTGAAGGAGCCGGTGCCAGCGCTGAGCGCAGTGATCTGCCCCATCCGCCGTGCGTTCGATATTATCTGACTATAAACACGCTGCAGTAGGCTGAGCCCGAGTCTGAAAACCATCCCTGCCAGCCTTACTCGGCTCTGAGTTATCAGAGGCCACTTTCGCTTTTACATTTCTGAAGGTCTCCAAACATGTAAGCTTGGGAGACAAGACTGGATGTCCAGTCTTCCAAAGGGACAGTGTCGTCTGGGAACTAGAGAGTTCATTCAAAGAGACCCCAGCATTCTGCGATCCTACAGTGGGAAACAGCAGCAGTGCTAGCGTGGTAGATGCTCCTTTTTTACTATAAATATGGCCGACGAGAGACATCACCATGCAAACGTGGAAGCGTCTACTTACCTTATAAAACTAAATTAGCGCCCTCTCGAGGGGCTTTATCATTCACTCCAGAGCAGTCTTTTTTCGGTCATGAAGAACTAGAAGTAGAGACAAGCTAAGTCTGACTGGTCACAGAACCTTTATTGCAAAAGTCAAGAAAATAAACCGTCTTGTACCCCACTTCCCAGTTTATAACACTGGAAAAGACATATTCTTTGCTTACGGGAAGGGTACCTGGATTAAATAGTATTGTGTCTTGAAACAGAGCTGTTGAAAAATGAAGAAATGACTTCAAATAAGGACCTTCAAGGGTTTTTTTCTTGTATGTTTACACACAGCTCAAGATTTTATGTGTAACAGCAATTTTTTTGAGACTAATGGAAAACTGTTGAGAAAAATGTTGGGAGAATATAAAACTCGGTATAATTTACTGTAGAGAAAAATCACAAAATGGAAAACATATTTAAACATCTTTCACGGATACATTATTTCAGATTTGAAATTCTAGAAGTCTGATCTGGATGTTGGGCTCCTTGTTCTCAAACATGAACTTAACGTAGTTGTAATCTTCAGAGTGCGGTGCTTGATATTTATGGCAAAGAGCCTTTTCATAGAATATTACAGAAACTCTTCATAGTATGTGTTTAATAGACCAGTTTGGTTTGGCATCAGCTTGACATAAACTTTTGGTTATCCAAAGCCCTTAATTGCTTTGAAGTAAAAGCCCATTGCTGCTCTTTTTTATTAAAATCATGTTTTTTCCTGTTATTGTGGTCTATTTTGGAAGACTGAGTTGTGATTTTTGCATATGTTCTACATAATGCCTCATTAGCAAAAAATCTTGTATCATTTACAAGTAGCCTGAATGTCTGTGTTGTTTTGAACAAAAATCCATATTAAAATTTAAACAATATAAAAATGCACATTTTCTGCTTATTAAAAAGGCCGTCTTAAATTAAATGCAAAGCCGTAACCAGTGAACACATGTACATGAACATTAAAATCAGAATGATTTTACCTTTTATTGACTTTTTCAACTCCAAAAATATTTAGACTCTTACCAAATGTGTAACTAGTTTGTACTGTTGTTTTTTTTTTTTAAGTAAATGTTAGGGTGTTTACCTTTTTAATTAAAAATCATGTTAAGTGCCATCATGTCCCGTGGAGGCAAGTTCACGCATAAATCTTACAAAATCTGTCTTACGCTCTTCTCCTTGATTGACAGAAGACTGTCAAGTCTTCAAACCGAGCGGTCCCCACACAAGCCCGCCGGTGAGAAGCAGCCACTTCAGGGGCTTCTGCGGCTGTGCACAGACTCAGGGGTGCTCCCTTGCACTCTGAGGTCCTTTGCCAGTTTTTCCTTCAAGAAATTGCAAACCTCCAGAAAGGTGATGATCCTGCAGAGTGAACGCTTCCCTGCCTGTACCCCCCCCCTTGTATATTTGAGGTGAAGAGAGCCTCTTCTGTATGCGGCACCCAGCCCATGAGCCCCTCTCTCCCTCCGGACCCTCCCCTCTGCCACACCCCGCCACCAGAGACAGAGACGTGCAGACGGCAAGGGCACCCTTGCCCACAGAAGGAGATCAAGGGCTCGATGGAGAATTTGAGACTTCTGGCATGTGTTACTCCCCCTTCTAAGACCCTGGGGCCCTCTGGGGACACGGCCACCCGCCCACTGAGCCACACATTCGGGACACTTGACAGCGGACAGTGGCGGCGCCGTCCGGTTCGCCCTCCGAGCTCATGTTTCCCAGCAGACCCATCAGTTCTCGCTGCTGGTTTTTAATAGCTGTTTTGTTTGGGCTTGTTTTCTTGTGATGTATTTGCCGTCAAAGGTGGTGTATGTGACTGTTAGCTCTCTCTGGGCTCCTTTATCCCTCTGTTCAAGAGTGGCTCCCCCAGTCTTTCCCAAGCCACTGACAGTGGTTTGCAAAGGGCCCTCGGCTCCTATTTGTGTGATTGCCCATCCCCGGATTTCAAGGACATATCTGGCTCTTGGAACGCTTTCTGGGGCCAGGGATAAACCAGCCAGACATTATCACAGCAAGGGAGGTGACACCTGTCACTTCTTGTTTTCATGTCACCAAGCTCCTACTGCGGTTTTAAGTCTCTTAGACTTTGTCCGGTGAAAACTTTCACATTCGAAAAACCATTTCTGTTATCCCTGTTTTTTTTTTTTAATTATTAATATTAAGTAAGCTTTTTCTTTCATAGAACGCAATGTGTTTCCCAGCAGTTTACATAAGCCACATTGTCCCAGTAACGATGAGCGTATCAGTGCGCACACGTGAGTGGTGGGAAAGTTCAAAGGTAGGAAGTCGTTGGAGGGAAAAAGTAACTGAAAAGACTGGGAAGAACTTATCTCTTAGAATTGGATTTAAGTATTAACTCCCGCACCTGAGGACGTGGCCAAATTCTTTAAGATGAAGAGTTTGAAATGACTAACTCCCTACTTAAGTAATAGCTGCTCGGATCCCTAGAAACCTGTGTTTCTGTAAGATTTTGACTTCTAAAGAAGCTGTATTTATTCATGAAATCAATTTGTCCTTTTTTTTTTTCATCAAAGGCCTTTGTCATACCAATCATTGCATCTGATGGTTGTGAAATAATTCCATTACTGCACTGATTTGGTATAATTATATCAAAAAATAAAAACAGTGCAAAACTTTGAAGTTCGCTTTCGCAGCTTAGTTGCTAATAAATCTGTGTTTCCCAGGTGGGCCTTATTGAAGTATTGTGTCTAATTCTCAGATTCTCATAACTCGTAGGGATCCATTAAAACTGGATCCTCAAAGTGGTCCCCAGAAGATGAGCCTAGAAAAGAGTTGAACTGCCCCCCACTCGTTGAAGTGAGTGAGGGTAGGAAAACATTCCGTTCTGATTTATAGTTTGACCCAAAACACTACAAGATATGATCCAGAGTCAAATAAACATATACTAACAAATTGTTTTCCTTGATGCACTCTTAAATCAGGGAGCGGTATTTTTAGCTATGAACTCATTTGGCAGTTTTGAGCAAAACCAATACCTTTCTCAGTGATTTTAGTGACATTCCAGTTAATTTATTAGCGTCTCTCTGTAATCTGATCAGAAGTGCTACCTTTCCAGCGATTGTCATCTCTGTATCCCAGTAAAGAGCTGTGAATGACTGGTTTCTTCCAACCGTACTCTTTAAAAACATTCACTGCTCTTTAACAACAAAAGCCAAAGATTTGTCTTTAATTCTGAGTTTGTTTTCCATCTCATCCCCCAAATTCAGTCATCCCGATAAAGCTATTACTCAAAAAGAGCCTCATCATTCTACCTCATAAAAGTTTGCCTTAGCTACTTTCCAGAATTTCAGAACCTAGCTTCTGTGTTCTCAAGCCTTCTCGCCCTCTCTTCTAAATGCTGTTAGAACAGTTTGACTCGAAACTTAAGAGGTTTTTTGTTTTAGTGTTCATATTCCTTACTGAGAGTAAAGAATGAAATGTTTACGAGGGCTTGGGGGCAGGGAGGTGTGCTAAATGGGGAGCGATGGGTGAGAGCTGAGGGAGCCGTGTGCCTGGGAAATGAAGTATAAGAAGCTTTCACTGGAGCAGAGTTTTGCCTCTTAAGTTTTCTTATTAGACTATACATTACATAGCGCCACTGAAATTTTTTCCTTCCCCACTGTATCTGAGGTTTTAAGTTTCTGGATTTATTATGGCACCCAGTAGCAAGCTGGAGTCAAGTGTTTTCAAGACTTCCATTAGAAATTCCTTTTTCAGAGTTTATTGCTTGACTGTTTCAAATTATATGAGAGAAACTTGGCACACAGGTTGTTGAACTGAATTACTTTTTTTCAACATAAAATCTAATTTATTTCAGTTTGTTTTTAATCTAGGGATGAGCCAACAACTCTTCTCGTTGTTTTTAGAAGATTTGACCCTAATTGTAAATAGTATTTCTGTAAAAAAGAAAAAAAAAGAAAGAAAGCAGAGACCGTATTTTCCGATTTAATAGTTCACCGCTTTTTCAAAATCCTTGTTGAAAATTTTGAGAAATTAATTTCTACAAAGCCTGTAATTAGTATGCTTGATATGTTTGCACATCATCGCACCACGTAGCACCCAGCCTGCATGCCCTGGTACATGACTGGCAGAGCCCTGTGCTTTCATTGTTCTTCCTGTTAGGATGTCATCTCCACAGATGGGAAGTTCCGGTTCTAAGCAGGCCCGCGGGCGGGAGGACGCTCTGGGGAGGCCACTTAAATTTTGCTCATAAAATCAGCCCCATCTCTTTTCTGCAAAGGAAACCACCTGAAACTTCCTGCGCACACGTAAAGGTCTGGGACAGGCCACCGGATGGCGACTCTGGCTGTCTCTCGGCCCCGCCTTCCTGCTCACACCCATTGTCATGGTTCCCTGACGGCTCCTTCCCGCTTTCCTCTCTCACTCCCACCCTTCTTCTTTTACTATATTTCATCTTGCAAAAAAATGTTGAGTTGAGCTCAGGCTTGAGATGATGCTTCATTGTATACCTTTCTAAAGCCAGACCACATTCATCACATTTCGAGTGTAGCTTTTATGTACTTTATACCATGGTTCTTTGGAGCTTAACTGCAAGTCTTCCTTTGCCTCTCCATATCACCTCCAAGCATGTTCAGTCATAACAGACACTGCAATGTACAGGGCCCCTAAAATTGACCCGTAAAAATAATTAGTCAAGGGCCCTCCCTGGTGGTGCAGCGGGTTACAGCACAGCACTGAGAAGCTAAAGCAACTTCAGCATGAGTTCGATCCCCTCCCCGGAGGTGACCCACAGGGCACAGCAGACCTCTCCCGGCCCCCCTCACCCCCTCCGCTGCTCCCCTCAGCAGTGTACTGTGTCTATCTGCCTGTTCTGCTCCCCACTCTGTCTCTGGTGAAGCCTCTCACCACCTCTGGCACCTCTGGCCTGTACCCCAGTTCTGTATGCATAAATAAATCAATCTTTAAAAAAGGGCCCTCCCTGGTGGCGCAGCAGGTTAAAGCACAGCACTAAGAAGCTAAAGCCACTGCAGCATGAGTTCGATCCCCGCCTGCCCCGGAGGAGATCCACATGGCGTGGCAGACCTCTCCTGACCCGCCCGCTGCTCCCCTCAGCAGTGTACTTCGTCGATCTGCCTGCTCTGCTCCCCACTCTGTCTCTGGTGAATCCTCTCACCCTCCACATCTCTGGCCTGTACCCCAGTTCTGTATGAATAAATAAATAAATCTTAAAAAAAAAATTAGTCAGGACTTGCAAGTGTTGCATTGGGGAAATCAGCGGACTTTGTAGTGAACTGACTTTATTTGAAGTACCCCATTACCCTCGCTGTTTCTCAGTCCTGCTGATTTTGTATTTCTGCATATTTTGCTGGACATTATCCATATCATATATTAAGTCATTTTTCTTGGCAGTTCCTTCCTTTGCAAAGTTTCAACTGCAAAGAAGTTCAGGAAAGTAGTCAAGAAAATATTCTCCAGTTAAGCCACTAAAAGTTCCTGAAAGCTATCTAACTGGCCTTTGCCTGGCAAAGTAAATTCATAGTTTACTTTGACCCTGTGTGGCTAGTGGGTGATTGGAACTTAATTCTCTGAAATTATCATGAAGTAATAGTTATTATTCCAAGTGGCTGATATGCCCATACACATCTTCTTGAAAATGGTAACACATTTGAAAACACTAAAAATAGGCCCTCCCAGAAATGCACTGGACTATGGTGATGGCACATGGGTGATTTAGTGATGGGAAACCCAACTGAGATGGAAAAATACACAAAAATATGTAAAAATAAACTATTATAAAATTAAAAAATAGTAATAATGCTAAAAGAACACCCCCCCCCCGAAAATAAAAAAAATAAATAAAAAATAGACCCTCCCTGGTGGTGCAATGGGTTAGGACGCAGCACTGCAAGCCAGCAGCAGCCGCTTCAGTGCAAGTTTGATCCCCACCCAGAGGTGACCCACACGGCGAGGCAGACCTCTCCTCACCCTCCCGCTGCTCCCCTCAGCAGTGTGCTTCGTCAGTCTGCCTGTTCTGCTCCCTGCTCTGTCTCTGGTGAATCCTCACCACCCCTGCACCTCTGGCCTCTATACTCCAGTCCTGTAAGCATAAAAAAATAAATCTTTAAAAATAAATAAATAAAGTATCAGGGATACTGAAAATAGAAGAAATTACTAGAGCAGCAATCTGTCCTTCCATGTCAATAAATGTCACTTTGTTACGTGTTAAGTTCCAGGGGAGAAGACACAAATGATACTGGAGCTTCTAGATGTGAAACCATTTAAAGCATGGTTTTTCCTTCATACTGTTGTTAGTGAATAGATATAAGACTGAAGGGAACTGTGAGTGTTCTGTTGAATGTGTGCTCAGAACTACTAGATAAAATGTTTTAGACACGTAATTATTTTAACATTGTGTTAAAACTGCACCTTGGGCAAGGTCCAGGTTCTTGGACTTGTTTATCTTCTGTGTGAGGACAACTAACTGTCTGATGCCAAAATGCAATGAACTTTCAAATATCAAAGAGGAAAATTAAGTATTTCAAGTCCTCAGCTGGTTTACAGATGTGTGAGCTTTGTAGTCTATTTTCTGGTTCCAGTAGGGCATCGTGACAATCTTTCCAATATGTGCACACCAGATAAGTTTTAGAAGCAAATCTCGACTTTGCATTCTTACATAAATGTCTGAATTGAAAATTTTTGTATTTATTTTTCTTAAAATAGGAGGTCTAAAGCTGAGCTCTACAACTTAAAAAATATTTTTAGATGTAAAAATGTATCAAATTAAGGAACATTCTCTGTCAGGAAAATAAATGCCTTTTGAAAACAGGTATTCATTTAGATCTCTGATTAACCTTTAACAAGATCTTCCTGTTAAATTCTACATTTGCTTTAATCTCACTGGGAAAAACACAAAATAGTATTGCCACAGATAGAGTTTCTATATACCCTGTGGACGGTAAATGATCTCTTACAGCTAAACGCACATCTGCAACATATTTAAATGCCATCTTTGGGCATTATTAGTATAAAATGCTAAGTCACTTCTTTTGGAAATATTTTGAAACGTTTCAACTCCAGGAGGAAACTCCAATAAATTGTAATCTTATGATACCATTTGTTTTGAGGGAGTGGTCGAAAGATGAGTGACTGTGTTGCATATTTTTCATCCAGGGAAGAGTAGTATAATAGTTCTTAAAAAAAAAAGTCTGAAGCTTGGTGGGAGAATGATGACTGTGCTTAAAGCTGACATGCTTCTGGACCTTCTCTCAGAGGCAAAATGATTTTAATGTGAAATGATTTTAAAGCTTTTTTATCATGCTTGTACAGGTGACTCAAATAGGAGTTTTCCTTCAAACTGAGAGTTCAAGAGTGGTGATTGGTTGGTTGTAAATAATTTAACCTCTGTGCAATAAACAAAAACCTTGGTGACTTATCTAGAAGTGTGTGAGCTTCTCCCACGTAGCATTCAATGAGAAATTGTCATTCTAGCATAGATGGTCTTCTTTTGCTTTGCACTTCTTCATCTCTCTTTTTCTTAAATACATCTTTGAAGGGCAAACATCCGGGACAATGTAGAAATGATTAAGCTTCATAAGCAGCTCGTCGAAAAAAGCAACGCTTTGTCGGTAATGGAAGGAAAGTTTATTCAGCTTCAAGAGGTACTGTGATCATTTATCTTCTGTGATAAGATATAGATACAGAACTTCAGAAATTGTGTTCACGGGTTTTGTATTTCTAAAGTAAAAGTAAAAATTACACTAAAAAGTAATTTTTCAACTGTTCTTTTTACTCTCAAGTATGTGTAATTTCATTTCATAGATTGCTTTTTAATAACTCAATAACTAAAGAAATAACCAGCTGCTTAGACTTTTTAGAAATAGCTGTGTCATCTTTAAATAATAACAGATTTATCATATATCATCTCATGCCAGGAAAATTTATTTTTAACTCCTTTTATAAAGTGAATTTGTTATGAGCACACGGCACTGAGGTTTAGATGTATTTGCATAGGTCTTCAGTTCTGAGTACTTATGAAATATCTAAGATAGATCAAAGTCATAATTACATTTTGTTAAATCTTTCTTTGATGTGGTGTTTGGTTTGGTTTTATCACTACCATTATCAGAAAATATGTCCATCATGTCAACTACCGTATTTATTTTAAATCTCAGCCATTCAAACCAACGATCCTTGGGACTCTTCCGCCCCGTGGCTGTTTTAATAAAGAGGAAGACTGCACAGGAATGAGCCGTCAGAGGCCTCCTATTTATTGGCACTGCATAATTAACATAGGTTCTGGAACTAATGAACTCCAAAACATTCCAGATGAGCAGAATTTATTTTAAGCAGTACTTTCTTTGAAGTACTGAGACAAAGCAATAAATTTGTACAAACCATAGGGTCATCTGAAGCCGAAATTCACTGTTGAGTTAGAGAAATATTTTTACACTATACTCTAGGTAGTGTTTTCTACCTGGCAGGAACCGTCCTTAACTGCCGCATAAACATCATCCGTGTAAATACACGCATTTAGAAAAGAGAGGAAGGCTAATTAGAGCCTGGGGAGGGTAGTGCTCTCTGCAGACAGAGAAGGGAGATTAAAGATACATGCAGTTGGAAGCCATGGCTGAAATGAGCAGTTAAGACAGGAATTAAAAAGTGATTTTGTGTTCTTTCATCACCCTCTCGATTTTTGTTTCCACTTAATAGTGACCCCAGGTATTTATTTAAATACCCCAATGACAAGTATCTTGCTGTCATGCAGGTATCACTTTGGGGGTTTGACATAGGGTCGGGATTTGAGAGATTCAGACTGAGGAATCCAACGAGGTGGGAGCCCAGAGAAAGCGGGTTAGAGTTAAATGTCATGTGGACTCCGAGATCAATAAAAAATTGGCCTCTAGTGGCCGAAGAGCCATTTTGCTTGTATTGAAGAAGAACTTCAATAGAACTTAGTTGATCTTAACTAGCAAATGAGGCATCACATAATGGTTTCTATGAAAAGACTTTAATGTAATGCCTTTAAAAAAAAAAGTATGCGGTGCTTCAGTATATAAAATGGAATTTAAAGCATATGCAGAAATATGCCATTTTAAAATGTAAGAAGAGTTTTTAATTATTTCACTGCACTGAATATCTTAACTTAATGACACTGAAATCAGAAGCCCCCCCCCCAGAGACGGGCTAATGGCTGGCGACAGCGCCCTTCAGCTTGAGTGTCTGTGGTCAGCACTGATTCAGTGCCCGTTCTAAGATAGCGTATCCGACCTCTGTAACCACAGCGAAAAGCAAACAAATAAATGGCTACAACGAATCTACTTAATGGCCATTCTCAACCACTCCAGGCCCAGGAGGAAGTAAAAAGAAGGACTAAGCCGTGCGCAGGCCGTGGCGCCCGCTGGAACGCCCGCCCGGTGCAGCGCACCTGCGAGGTCCCCTTGAGCGGGCGGCGGCTGCGGGCAGCCTGGCGCACAGTGCCTGAGAGCGGGATGTGCCCTCCAGGAAATTCACCTCCAGAACCCAATCCTCCAGAGCGGAATGCAAAACTAATTTGAGAACTCGTTTGTTTTTTAGAAGCAAAGAACTCTCAGAATTAGCCATGATGCCTTGATGGCAAATGGGGATGAGCTAAATATGCAACTCAAAGAACAGCGTCTGAAATGCTGCAGCCTGGAGAAGCAGTTGCATTCTGTGACCTTTTCTGAAAGAAGAATAGAAGAGGTAAGCGCCCACACAGTTCAGAGGTAAGCGCCCACACAGTTCAGTCATTGGCTGCATTAACACTTTCCCGGAACTGTTTAGAAAAACTTCATCGGGACATCGCAAATGTTACGTTTTAAAATCCTGAGCTTCACATGTGACCCCATGAGCAGGCATCCTAGAGTTGTTAAATACATTATGCACATGGTAAGTCAGTGCTTAAGAATGTTTGCAAATGTGCTAGAATCCACTATTTATGTAAAGGATTCCAAGTACTTGAAGAGAAGGAAAATTGAAACCCATGCTGCATTACCTGTTTGAATTTAACTTTCTCAGCCACAACCGTGTATGAGTCACTTGGAATACCCAGACCCTGTTAAAGGAACTTAACTGGTTCTGCGAGAACGTTCTCTTCTGCAATATCAACAATTTTGTGAAATTATCCAGTTGTGTGTTTTTTGGACGTTGTTTGAAAATCCGCTCGCCTATTATTGCTCCTTATGTCTCCAGCTAGTACAGGCCTTTTCATAGTATGTTAAATTTGTTCTGAAGGAGAATATAAGTGAAATAAAAGGGCTACATTGTGTTCTGGTCTTGGGGGACACTTCTTCATGTTGTACCTCATTCTAGCATCAGAAGAGATTTTTGAAAAGTGGCAATGAAGTGAAAGAGTGCTCTGACCCCTGGGAAAGAGTTGTAGCTGAAAAACACAGCGGCAAACTTAAACACTAGACATGAACATCGAGAGTTGCATTTTAGTCCGAAGGATGGCATTATTACGCCATCTTTATTTCTGATAATATTATTCACTGGGATAAGCCAGGGTATGTAACTTTATTCACTCAGTTCATTCGCTTGTAAGCTGTGCCCCTGGCTCCAAGTTAACAAGAACGTGTGTCTTCAGAACAAATACCGATCAGCACAATTTGTTTGAACCACGAAGCAAAAGAAAAGCTAATCCTTTTATTTTTGGTGGGCCAATTGGAATTTAATACAGAGTGAGTCTAATGATGGAATTCATCAGGGAGGAAAGTAGAAAATACGATGTTTCTCCAGACTTAACAGTGAGCGTTTACACATTCTTTATTGAGTTCTGGCACATGTTCCCATAATGCAGTGCATACGTTTCTACTTAATTAAAACAGAAATATTAATTTCATGTTTATTTAACAACTTGGAAAAAAATCAATGCTGAATTGAACACAGACAACATGAGGGTTCTAGTTGGCAGCTGCAGTTTGGAAATCAAGATTGCAATATGTTAGCCGCCTCCTCCTGTTTATCTGTTTGTTTACTCCCATGTGGTTATATATGATAATCCTCTCATGGGTCGTTTTCTTTTTATTTTAGCTGCAGGATAGAATTAATGATTTAGAAAAGGAACGGGAACTTTTAAAGGAGAACTATGACAAACTATATAACAGGTAAATAACAATTCCATGTATTAGCTCATTCTCTTGTTCGAGATCAATTTTCTCAAATCTTGGGACTCAGATACCTAACATTGACTTCAAAATGAGTAGTGGAGATAGCAAGAAACAACATACGTGTTATAAAAGAAAAAAATAAGCTTTTGAGGAACATTAATCCACTGACCTGGGCAGTTGTCCGTTACTGAGAAAACTGTATCAACTGCTGTCATCTACTGCATGCAAACTAAGCTTGCAGGCCCTGTGCAAACACTGATATGGCGCTCTAAGCGCCTCAGCACAGCCTTGAAATGTAGGCATTGTGAATGTCTGCCTTGCAGGCCGTGGAGACGGAAGAGGAGTAAGCATTGTGCCTACATTCCTGATGCTCCGCAGTAAAAGAACTTGTGTCAAACCTCTTGATGTCTCTCCAAGCTCGTGTTCCCTCCACTGGACTTCCCAACGAGTTACCTGAGAGGGATTCTTGGTGCAGTTGTCTCTGTTCCTTATAAAGGGAACAAGATAAATTTTAAAGAGCTGCTTCCATTTTGTTACTTAATCTGCCTCATAATTATGGTATTTTCGAAATTGATACCTTCTGGTAATATTGGAAACAAGCTACTGTTCCACGACTCAGTTTCGCTAAGTGCCACAGATATTTCTCTGTGTGGGGACCTGGGAGGAGAGCGTGCTTGTGTGTTTCCTTGTGATTCTGGTCCATGTAAATACAGGCTTGCATGAAAGCAGATTCAATACATGTTGAAATACGTATGTCAAAGTTCACACTCAACAGCTGCTCCTATTATCACTGAAATATCAAGCAGTAACCATCTGAACTAGAGATAAATCTTCAACTTTTTAACTGTATGTTTTATGACTTCATGTTTCAAGACTCTTTACATTTCGCCAATTAAACAAATTACTCCTGAAGCGGTTGGGGATGGGCTTTCCTCTTGGCCTCCTTGGAAGTCACCTCCATCGCGTGGCCCCCTTCCCGTCTGGCGTCGGCGGTGTTGCTCACTGCTGGTGTTGGGTATGTGTGCCCGGTGGCTCCGTGCACTAGGGTGCCACCGTGCGCCCTTACGCACTGCCTGGTGCTCCGCGCCGGAGGCGGCGGCAGGGGCCTTCACGGGCTCGCCACGGCCCCTCTTGCAGGCCGCTCCTGCCGGTCCTGGCTGTGGGCTGTCGCTCAGCAGCCCTCGTTCATTCTGCCTGAAGCAGCCCTTACGCTGCGGTCTTGCGCTTTCCCATCTCTGCAGAACAGTGCCTCAGCCTGTGTGGTGCGGCAGTTGAGTAGTTACGTGTTTGCCGGGGAGGGGGGACCGGCGTATAGATTCCGCAGCACCCTGTGGCAGTCACGTGATGTTATTTCCATATTTTGTAAATAAGGAAAGTGCGACTCAAAGACAATGAGACTTACACAGGATCGCAGGGCATTGCTGAGAGCCAGAGTTTTTACTCTATAACTTGATTTTTTTTCTTACCCTGTATTTCACTGCTTGCTGGGTTTAGCTGCCTTGGGAAACTGTGTGTATAAAAGACGTAAGCGTGGAGTCAGGAATTTTTTATTTATATCGATCTTCAGCCTCTTCTAATTTCAAAGAATTTCACACAGGCTGCAGAGAAGAGAGTCAGTACTTAATGGCCACTGTACCTTCCCCCAATTCGAGGACGGGCTGGACTTGCATTCTTAGAATAAAATACATTAAGCTTACTGGTAATAATGAGGAAATAGGATTTTTTAAAAGACATGCTTTTCTCACATTTGCTTTATCGTCATGAAAAAAATCTTTCCATATATGAAGATGATCTAACTCTGGCTTTGAAGGTTTTTTTTTTTAATATTTTATACTAGGCTCCATTCTTTTTTTTTTTTTTTACTGTCACATTTACAACAGGCTTCATTTTGCCATTTACACTTGAATTCTGTGTAAGTGTATGCAAGTTCAGTGTGGGTAGTGAGTGTCAAAACATTTAATGTCAAAAATATTAATGTCTCTTAAGCATAAAACACAGCAAGCGCACAAAACAGTGAATATTGTTAAACTACACAATTCTCCAATACAATTTTTTAACTAGTAATGTTTTCATTAAGTATAACTGGAGAAGTCCTACAAGAATCAGTATCATCCCTAGATTCCTCATAGCTCCGTGTCTCACAGCTCACTTCATCCTCATTGCCAACAACCAGAGCTCGTCAGAAACTGCATGTACTCCCTGTTTGGTTAGTCATAGTGATAGCATGTTTTGAAAAGGAGAGCATTTGTTTGTTATTCAAAATTGGCTCGTTTTCAGGAGAAAAATATGATTTGCAGATCGTGTTCTCATCTTCCTTTCTCAGATGAAATTTTGAATGTGTTTATTACTTGACATATGACATATTAGAGAATGTTCTGGTAAGATAAAACTCTCATGATAGTATTTGGTATGAGCCGTTTTTAATATGCTAAAACATGTTTGATGCAATGCCAAGAAATAAGTGTAACTTTAAGAAATGTTTATTAGAAATTCAGAATAAATACTTTGCAATCAAATCTGGAGAGAAATTCTAGATTATAGTATGGTAAAGTTGTGTCTCATCTTTGAAGTTAGTGTAATTTCAGGAGAATGTAGCTGATGCCTGCAGTGATGCTTCTGTTGTGATGACACGAGTCACCTGAAAGCTTATCAAGGTGCAGGCTGTACTCACCCCCCCCCAAAGCCCCCCAACTGCTCTCTGTCCATCGGCTCTCTCACCTCCCACCAGCCATCTGCTTCAGATTTAGTCAATCTGAGGTGCAGTTCCGAGAATCTGTTAAAAGTGATTTTCAGGTACTAACTGCCTGAGAGGGACTAATCTGTTGTCTACTTTTTTTAAAAATAAAAGCTTGGTTTTGTTTGTGAAGATCTTTACTACTTAAAGTAGTGGGTGAATCCAGTCTCTACAGCGTGATAATCATATCAGCTTCTCCTGTCAGGAGCCCTGCTAACCTCCTTAGTCTCTGCTGCTTCTGTAAAGTGAGCCTCTTCCCCTCCACCTCCATCATGAAAGTCCATATAGTCAGAGAAATACGGGCCTTCCTGCTGCCCAGAAGCCAGACTGAGTCCACTCGCTGCATCATTTTTCCTTCCGCAAGTAGAATATCCCAGTGTAAATGTGTATTTTAACTTTTGCTCAACCCCACAAAAAGTAGCCATGGGTTTCTTTGTGTGTGGGTCGATCTTACTCTCGCCTGCCTCGCACATAAGGGAACTTGGGAACACTGGAATTCTTCTGTAAGAAGGAAAACCTCAGGGTGCCGAAAAGTTCTTGTTGATCAAGGGCCTGTATTTAGAGAATGCTGACCCAGGCCTGCAGTGGACATGCCAGTGACCACAGGCACCGTGGGCGCCCGCTGCAGAAGGACATGATCACTTTCCTCACAAATTTGCACAAGAACCAACTGTGACACCCCCCTCATTTGTCTCTGTAGGCAGAAACATTTTCATGAATAAAAGGTTCTCAAAGACTGTTCTCTATGCAGATTTAATCATGTACACAGTCTTTACAAAGAAAATGGAGCCAGATGTGGTTCACCATTTATAGTCACACAGATGTCTCCAAGCATAGAGGAATACAGTAAATTCAAAAGGAATTCCTCATGAAACTCCAGCGGAATGTAATCCTAAATTTAGAGGAAAGATAGCAGTGGACTAAATTCAGATTGACTTATGCTGATTTACACTAGTATTTTGTGGGTTTGGAAAAACCAGGCTGCTAAATTGTTCTTAATTTAAACACATACAGCTTCTGATGTTTCTGCCAGATTAACTGTTGGTGATCTTTTTGCTGGTACAAAGGCTATTGGGACATTACTGTTTCTAATTTTTGGCGTCTGATAGAATGTACGCTTGTGCCTATTTCATCATGCTAATTTTTTTTTCCGGGTAGTACATGTTTTTAATAATGCAACACACACACATACTCACATACATGTGTGTGTATATGCGTGTATTTTTCAAAACATGTAGTTGACCAGATACACAAATTATGTGTATTCTTAAAATGTGAAGGAATAATCTTTAGTATTTAAAGTTCCTGTTTCATTTGGATTGAAGTTTAGGCCATTGATAAAATTTCCTTAAAATACTTTTTTTAGGGCTCCATATGTGAAGTGATAGAAGAAACAGATGTCCTGTTTAAGAGAAACTTCTAGAATTCCATTTATTTTTAAGGCCATGTTCTTTTTAATGCACTGAAAACAATATGCACCCTTGAAAAGCATGTCCTTTGGAATAAAACCTTGAGGCTACCTGGGAGTAAGATAAAGGCAATTTTCAGTAACGCTTCTCTTTTTCTTTTACTTTATCGTCGGTACAAAGCCAGATTTTTTTTAGAGTTGTGTTTCGTTTGCTGGGTTTAAGAGAAGTAAAAGGGTCAAAGCTGCTGATAATTATTCAGTCATATCAAGCCTCACAGATAATAGTTTGTGCTGCAATACAGATCAAGATCAGTGTTTCTGAAACCTGGCTGTCACCTGGGCAGCTTTACAAAAATATGAATTCCTGGGCCCCAGAAACTTCCCTTTTAAGTCTCCCTGCTCGTTCTTAGTGCGGCTGATACAGCACCAGGTTTAATTTAGGCCAGCACTGGGGAGCCCTTGGGCCCAACCAGCGCTTACTGTGAACTTTCGTGTGGATGGTTCTCTCCCTCTGTGCTGTGTCCTGATCCTTACTAGCTTTGAACAGTAGCTTAAGCTCCTGCACTTCTATTAGGAATGGTCATTCTCTCTCTCCATCCTGATCAGCATCTCCCGATTGGATTTATACCCCAGTCACATTAAAAATAAAATTTGCTTTGTCGCTTAGGACAAAAACTGCATTGTCGTTTGCTTCTTGATATCAGAATCTAGCTGCCAGCTCAGCCCGCTCCTGTCCGGTTGCCATTGTTTGGTGACCATGTTCTTGCCACAGCCTGTTGAAATGTTTCAAATTCTAGAATGAAAGATCAGGTGGCGGGTCCCTCTCTGTGTGAAGGCGGTTTAGATGTGGGAGAGAATGGCTTTGTCCGCCGCTGATTGCTGAGGTCTGAAACCGGATTCCTCTGGACCACGGACAGTATCTGAATTCCTGCAGTAGTCCCCCAAAAGCTGCACACTGCCAACTTCTCTGACTTTAGAGCTCTAAATTAAGGCCAGTTCCTTTGCTCATCCCACAAGCTCTTTCATGTTCCCTAACCGCAGCCTGAGCAAGGCGCCTCGGTTTCAACAGCAGCCGACCAGCATATGTTTACTTAATTCCTAAGACATGATGACAGTGGTCTCTATGCCACTAAAAGCTTTTCCCGGTATTATTTTCAGTCGAAGCCGATTTCCAAGCGCCCCTCGCGTGTCACGTGTGTTTTGCAGTGCCTTCAGCGAGGCCCACGAAGAGCAATGGAAGTTAAAGGAACAGCAGCTGAAAGTGCAGATTGCCCAACTGGAGACCGCCTTGAAGTCTGACTTAACAGACAAAACTGAAATCCTTGACCGAGTCAAAACCGAAAGAGGTACCTATGAAACGACTGCTGACCGCTTCATCTCGGACCTGTGTG